CGTAGCCATAGTTTGGACGTGCTTGGATATGCTAAATCAATGACCGAGTTCGGTTTGGATGTATGATCTCCCTCTTTGTTTTCTGGACGCTACGCTCGCATATTATGAGAACTAGTTTCAGGCCCTCGTATTTGTTTAATATACAAAAATTAATATAGCAAAAGAATACAAAATAAAATAGTAATAATATATAAATAGTCAAAAATGATACAACCTATAAGTTGCATATATAGTTTGAAAAATTAGAAAATTTGGAAAACTTGAATCAGTTTAAGATCATATATAGTTTGAAAAATGTAAATGTGTAAAAACGGTATTCAGAAATATAGGGGGAGTTATTTTATTATTGGGATCCCTTTATTATTTATAAGATAGAAAAAAAAATTCAAAATTAAACTAAATGTCAAAAAAGTACCAAAAATGGGTAAACTTTAAAAAATTGAGAAAATGAAAGGTTTGGAAAAATGTAAACATGGGAAAATAATATTTGAACATTTTATGCGAGTCATATCAATATTTAAACCGTTGATAACTTTCCAAAGAAATTGGTAAAATAAAAGTGAAATGTCAAAAAACAAAGAAAATATAATACCTATCATATAAGGGGTGTATGACATCCACCTGTAAAAGTGAAATGTCAAAAAACAAAGAAAATATAATACCTATCATATAAGGGGTGTATGACATCCACCTCACGAAAATAAGAGACAATGTAATACCTAAATCAAATAAAGTCAGTGTAAGAAAATTGTATATGATTGCAACTTAAGAACATCATCAAACCATAAGAATACGACATAAGAAGTACTCAATTAGTTAAATAAAATGCAACTTTCACATACTCTATATAAACATAAGAAATAACAAAAAAATTGAAGTGAAATGCATTGCCATTGGAGAAAAATAACAAAACATAATATAAGAGAAATACATTCTAGTAAGATTATATTGAGTTCATCACTTACCAATAGTAAAGATAAATAAAAAAACAAACAGATCTGAAATTTATGTTCTCCCTCTTTGTTTTGTGGACGCTACGCTTGCATATTTTCTTTAGCTAAATTATGAGAATGATGCTAATAGTAGTATCCAATGATCTGATTATTTAAACTTGCACAATGAGGTAAATATGTTTGAAATAAATTTTGTAGCCAACTTTTCTAGTAATCACTCGTGTAATCCGTCACATGATGCTTATGTACCATATTTATAATGATGTAATCACTGTAGTTAGCCTCATTCAAACTATTAACTATGGATATTTTAAATTAAGAGTAAAAGAAAAGAGAGATTTTTTAATTTAGAGGCTTCTTCTCATTCTTCTATTAAATTGGGGGCTCTTCATTGCTGGAGAACATAGAATTTTTTAGCCCAAATAACGAAGAACCTCCCAATTTGACCGCAGACGAAGAGGAAGTCCCAGATAGATAAATAAAAAATCATCTTTTCTTTTGCCATAATCTGGAAATCCCTCCTTCTAATGGGTTGAATGAGGTTAACTACAATTGTTACTTCATCAAAAATATACCACTTAAGCACATGTGGCAGATCATCTAAGTGGTTACCAGAAAAACAGTCGAAATTTTATTTTTGTGTCTATTTGTATCGTTCGTACAAGTTTAAGTACCTTGTTATCATCGAAGATAATTTAAATATCAATATGATTATTGAGTACTATTATAAGTACTAGTCAGGTAATTTAGTCTATTTTCTTTCCTTTTTACCCCTTTTTCTTTTAGATGTGCATTTATATCCTTGCAGATATAGCAAGTACTGCATACAATACTTGTCTGGGGGAAAAATTGTGTCAAGACCCCAAATGAGAGAACTTAATGTGCTCTGCCCCCTTATAATTTCATCTTTATGTATAAACCCCAAGTACAATGCAATAATATGTTTCAGCCCTTATTCCCTACCAACTAAGCACAGAGGGAAAAAACATAAAACCCGAAAATACCCTTATTTCCTTCTCTCTCTTCTCTCCTAATATTAATCTTCATGGCTGCTCCTCCATCCTCTCCTCTCTCCTAACCCTAATCTTCCTCATCTCTCCCTCTTCCTCCTTTTTCCCTTCGACACGACATCCCCCTCTCCTGCCTTCCTCTTTACCACCATCGACCCTGAGTGCACCCTCTAACCACACCGTTTCCCTCTCATGTCTCCCCCTCCGCCACCACTGACCTTGGGTGCATGCTCTAGCCCTGTTGTCTCCTTCTTCCGCCTCCCCTCTGCTAACATCAACCTCAAAGCGTACCTTATATCCTCACAATCTTCCTCTCCAGCCTCCCTCTCTACCACTACTAACCTTGAGCACATCCTCAACAAGTTTTCCTCCAATGTATATGACAAGATCCCCTTCTCCATGATCACCGCCAAGAAGAGGGTGTTCTTTCCTCAACTCAAGAATCTGCTGCAAGAGATGTTCTCTAGAGATTGCTCCCAGCTCATTTCTAAAGCTTTCACTCCAAAGTGCAGGATGTCTATAATGAAACCGAATGCTTTTGGATTAGTAATTTTGATAGGGGAGTAGGCCATAAGTAATACTAGATCATGTATGGATCTTGAGTTGAATATTGTCTTTGATGCCCAACAGATATGTGATGTGTTGCTTACAAGGTTAAGATTTTATATGAATTACTGAAAATACTAGTTCCATAACTAGTTTTAAATAATGGATATTGTTTCTTCAACTTTATGTTAAAAAGGAGAATTTTGGCTTCCTTTGAGTTAATTGAAGAATACTTTGAGTGATGAGACCACGCCATGAGGTATTTCTGGTTTCAAAATGTGTAAATTCCGTGCTAAGTCTAAGTCCTTACCTATGAAATTTAAGTCATTTTATATTAAGTCTAAGTTATTTCATGTTAAGTCCAAGTCATTTTCTGTGAAGTTTAAGCAATTGTGTGTTAAGGCTAAGTCATTTCATGTTAAGTATAAGTCCTTTTTTGTGAATTTTAAGTCATTTCTTGTAAAGTTAAGTCATTTCATATTAAGTCTAAGTCATTTCATGTTAAGTCTAAGTTATTGTTTATAAAGTTTATGTGATTTTGTGTTAAGTCTAAGTTATTTCGTCTTAAATATAAGTCCTTCACTGTAAATTAGTAGTCATTACCGATGAAATTTAAGTTATTTTGTGTTAAGTCTAAGTCATTTACTGTTATGGATATGTTGTTGCATGCTAAGTTATGTTGTATGTTATAAAGTTGTGATTTTGTGAGAAGTTGACAAAGAAACCCTAGAAAAAAGCAAAAAGAGAAAACAAATAAAATGACACATAATTGTTATCAACAACGCCCCAGAAACTAGGTAAATACATTCTTTTTTACTGGAATTAAGTATATGTTTTGATGATAGAGTTAACTTATTCCTTAATAATGTTATCAAGATCACCACATTCGGGGTTAAGTTATTTTCTGTTAAGAGTACTATATTTAATGTTAAGTCTAAATTATTTTCTGTGAAGTTTATGTCCTTGCCTGTTAATTTCAAGTCATTTCATGTTTAGTCTAAGTTTTATTTGTGTGAATTTTAATCATTTATTGTGTGTTATGTCTAAGTCATTTTCTATGAATTTTAATAACTTCATATGATGTTTTAAGTTATTTTGTGTTAAGTCTAACTTCTTCTTTGTAAATATCAAGTAATTCCTATGAAGTTTTATGTGATGTTTAAGTTATTTTGTGTTAAGTCTAACTTCTTCCTTGTGAATATCAAGTAATTTCCTTTGAAGTTTTAAGTCATTTTGTGTTAATTCTAAGTCATTTCCTATTATGAATATATTATTACTTGTTAAATTATGTTGTATGTAATAAAGTTGCGATTTTTACAAGAGGAAGTGGACAAGGAAGCAATAGGAAAAAACAGCGATGTCTCCATGATATTTTTTACATGATCTATTACTATCATAGTCTAAAAAACTATATCTCTTTTTGGCATTTCATTAAACATTTTATAAGCAACTTTCAAATCATCACATATCACATATCTGAGAGAATTTATGTAGGAGAGAGAAGAGAAGGTCGTAGATAGTTTTGAGGGGGTGATGGTCTTATCCATCATACGGGAGAGTTTAGAGGAGGAGAGGTGGGTGATCAAGAGAGGAGAAGATGGTGACAAGCTCGGAGGAGGAGATCTCGTCATTGTCATTAGAGTTGAACTAGTTGAAGATGCACTCGAGATCAATGATGGTGGAGGGGGAGGTGGGAGAGGGGGACGACTGGGTCGAAGGGTGTGCTTGAGATTAGTAATGACATAGGGGGAGGTGGGAGAGGGAGACAATAATATTGGAGGAGGAGAGGAGAAAGAGGGAAAGGAGAGGGAGGTTAGCTTTAGATTAGGAGAGAGAAAGAATAGAGAAGAGGAAGGAGGAGCAATCATGAAGGTTAGGATTAGGAGAGAGGATGGAGCAGAGGAGGAAAAAGTAACAAGGTTAGCCATGGCGCCGACAAGGATGTAAGGAAGGAAGATTTAGGAAGAGAGTTTAGTTGGGAGGAGGAAGAGAGAGGAAAAATCTCACTTGGATCTAATTTTAGAGAGAGAGAGAGAGAGAGAGAGAGAGAGAGAGAGAGAGAGAGAGAGAGATCTACCGAGAAGGGTAATTTAGGGATTTGGGGAAAATACAATATACACAATGTATATTGTTGGAAGGACTAAATCACACTTTTTGGGGTTTTAAGGGCTTTTACACGTGGGAAAAAGGTTGAAGTGGTTGCTCATATGAGTTTCTTGAAGTTGGGATCTGCTCACAATATTCCCCTTGCTTAGATATAATTCTGTATTATTTTTATTGTAGAAAATATATTTTGAATTCAATAGGGTGGTTAGTTGCGGAAAATTATAAAATTGCACATTCTGTCCAAAATGTAATCAAATGACTATCTATCTATAATTATATGCTTATCTTTATTTTCGAGTTGGAGCCTATTGACCTGATATGACAATATTTTTTAATTAATATAGCAGATTGCATTATGTCC